AGCTTGTAAAAATTTTTACAAGCTCTCTACTGACTAAAATGACAACAATTTAAGTAATTAAAATGGACATGAGGAAACCATAATTAATTTTAGCTCATGTTAAAGTAATCTATACAAAATAGCAGACTATATAGTGAAATATAAGTGTTATAACACAAACCTGACTTTTTCTTTGTGGCATTTAGCCAATGCTTTACAGAGGCTAGGATCAGGACATAAGTCAAGGGGTGACTGGCCCTTTTTGTTACGAATACCAAGGTCAGCTCCATTGGCTGCCAGGAAACAGGCAATAGATGCTGCACTTTTCTTCTCTGCTCCCTGAGTACCCAATCCCATTATCAACTGAAAGAAAGTAAATACGCAACTCATTTCAATTTTTATTCATGTACCTAAAACAGCAAATAAAATTGATTAGACGAAGGTATAATTACCATTAACAGATTTTAGTAAATGCAGCCCTAGAATGTAACATTGTACAATTAGTATGTTTCATTCAAAGTCACTTGAACAAATAAATAAAATATCTTTAGACTGGATTCTCTTAATCCCTTTGGGTCTATAGGTATTTTTGGAAAAGTGTGATGGACATGTTGTCACCCTCACAAAATGATTATCATGAGGAAGGAATAACAAAAAGTCTGCCATAGTGTTCGTAATAACCTATAGATTTCTGTTTCAACAAAACACAGAAAGACAAGCCAATTTCCCCAAATAATTTCTGAATAATTTCTTCTAAAATTAGGTATTTCAACATTTGTTACCTTCCAATAGGATGACAGTCCCGAACTCATTAAAAATGCACAATTTCAATGCAGCAAGATGGCTAAAAGATGTAAAATGGTCACATAATCATTCTCTACTAAACACATACCTTCTGACTCTTTGGATCATCTATACATATTTTTCTCCCTTTGTCCTATTGCTTTCTTCACCCTTTTTCTTTTCTCCCATGTCTGATTTTTTTTTCCTGCCTCAGCAAGATGGCTAAAAGATGTAAAATGGTCACATAATCATTCTCTACTAAACACATACCTTCTGACTCTTTGGATCATCTATACATATTTTTCTCCCTTTGTCCTATTGCTTTCTTCACCCTTTTTCTTTTCTCCCATGTCTGATTTTTTTTTCCTGCCTTTTCCTTCTACTTTTCTCATTGCCTATCATCAGCCCACTACAACCCTCCACCAACTTTCTTGCTTTCATTTTACTTTGGGTTGGCTGGCAGGCAGGCTGGCTGGCTGGCTGGCTCAAAAAAGAGCTCTGGCCTTCAGCTCTGAGCAATGCTCTCCAGGTAAGCCCTAATACAACTTGGCAAAGAAAGGGAAAGACCATGCCAGATCTGAAATTTCAAAACAAAGGTTGTTAAAACACTAGAGAAAGGGAGAAAGGGAGAAAGGGAAAGGGGGGGAGGGG